ATCTTTTAAAATTTATCATAATCAAAATTTGGTCAACACACAAAAAAACACGACAAAGAAAACACAAAATGACACAGCTCAAATCATATTTTGCAACGACTATTTAAGCATATGATTGATTTGACACCACAACCACACACACGCACAGTGCACAGTGCACAGTGAGTGGCACACATTTTGTTGAATACAAAAGCTTATACAAATAACAAATAGCATACGCGGTTAACCGTTATGAAGCCTTGAAGAAATGCCAGTGAGTGACGCCCATATGACGTGCAATAATGACGACAAGATGAATGACTGAGAAGCAGGCGAAAAATGCGATTGTACGAAACGCGGCAGCAAAATTGAAAAATAAATATCGTTAAATACCATGCAAAAACCAAAAAAAAAAATTCGAAAAGATGAAAAATACTGTTAAATATACATAAGTGAAAAAGGGCAAAGAAAAAAGTTAAATGCAACTCTAAACCAAAAAATTAAAAAAAAAATAAATGCCATTTGTAAGACACGAGGTCGTCAGAAAAATTATATGTACATATATATGTACGTGTAATAAAAGGCATACAAAGAAGAAAATAAAATTGCACGTAATAAAAAGCATTTAAGTGAGAAACGATTTAAATAAAAGGGAAGCAAGAGAAAAAAGTAATAAAACCAAATTGCGTACGATTCGTGTAAGTAAGGAGGTCGCGTACAACTAAATACAACACAACCACCACCATCACTACCGAGTTTGCTGAAATAAAAATTGCCTCGTCACCAACAACTCGCAGCAGGCGTTTTGGCGAGTGCACGAAGAGGCAGCGTGGCGAGATGATTAAATGCAGAATTTCTTGAGGTAGGACCAGGCGATCGAAATTAAATGCACAAAATACATATTTATTTAAATATATATGTATGTATGTGTGCGTGTGCAACATGCAATGCATGCTGCTGCAAGAGCAACAAGTAAGCAACAACAACAGCAGCTAAAAAGAAATCGAAAAATAAATACAAACAAAAAAAAACGCAACGTGGCGTTAAATTGACAGGCAGTCTTCACATAAACAATGGCAAACAAGCAATAAACTATACAGAAAAAAAACGCAGAAAGAAACTTTACCCATAATGAGCTTGCGGGAAAAGTGATCTCGGTTAATGTGCATGCTTGTGTGTGTGTGTGTGTGTGTGTGTGTGTGTGTGTGTGTTATTGCAATGTAAAATGCATTCATGCGAAGCCGAAGCCGAAGCCATGCTGAAATGCAATTAGACACATGCAACCCTGCCATACAATGCCTACATAAGCACACACATATACAAACATACATTAAATACATACATATGTATATACATACATACCACAAGCAGGGAATGGCATTGCAAGTGCATGACAAACAAAAATTAAAAATAAATAAATAAATAAAGTTGATGAAAAGTGTAAATGCGGGCGAGAAGAGAAGAGTAGAAAAGTGCAAAACAAAGAGCAACAAGGTAAATGAATTCGCTGCATGCTGCAAGCATGTGGACGCTGTCGGACGGTCGGTCACCTCTTACAACAAACTCAAAAAAAAAAAAAAAAAAAACAATGCACGTCAACAACAGCGCAAACAACAGAAGAGGCGTGCAGATGTTTTTCCCTCATTTTGTTTTATTTTTTTTTTTTGTTTTTGATGCATCATGAATGATTAAACAACAGCGGATAAAAGAACTATTTGCGACCATGTCTGCAAATTTTACTAAGGAAAAACCACCGAGCGCTCATCGACGTAAAAGAAACCCAAATACGCACAAAACAAACTGTGAAGACTGCACCACATCAGAAGTCAACGTACACAATATCCTTCATGCTTGCGCACACACGAACATGCACACATACAGCAGTCCAATGGTGCCAACATGCAGCGAGTGCCCAGCTACATACATTGAGGTGACAATGACATTTGCGCTCCAAAGGCATAAAGCAGTTGCAGCACTCTATGCACCGTTATTGGGTTGCAAGCAGAATAAACAGGCGAACAAGCCGCTGGCCGAACAGTGTCGTGCGTACGCTGGAACGATCATTGCCGATTCACACATTGCTACATATGTACATACATACATACAAACGCACGCAAATGTCCACGTGCAAAGCGAAATACACACGCAAAAAGGAAGCAGAAATTATTGTTTACGCCCAAACTGCAAATTCGTGTGCGCTTTGTTGCGCTTTATTGCATTCGGTCAATGTTGCGTTGTGCACATTCGTTTTTACATGCGCGCTCTGCTCTGCTCTACTCTGCTCTGCTCTTCCTTCAACAGCAACAGTGAGAAAGTCTTCCTTCGTGCATATCTGCTTACATGCATTCATACTCGTACGTATATTATGTACATATGTATGTACGAGTGTGTACGAGTGCCAATTGTTGCTGTTAGCTGAATTCGTGTGCTCGTGCATATGCGGGTTCGGCGTTGCATTAACATTGAACTGGAATTGGGTTACTGGCACAATGTACGAAAATTTAGCTCCTTTTATGCGCCCTTGTAAATGACATTGTTGTTGTCATCATTTTGGTTTTGGTTTTGATTTTTCGGTTCTTTTTGTTGATTTTTTTTCTGAACTCTTTCTTGTGACCTAAATTATATTGAGGGTAGCTGTTGGCGTTGGTGATGATAACCTGAATTTGGTGTGTGTGTGTGTGTGTGTTTGAATGTGTGTACGATTCTTAATGTGATCTTGACCTCTTCAAGGTGAGTCATACATACATACATACATTTAAACATACATAAATATGTATGTATTTATGTATTGCAGGGGTGTTATTTGAGCAATAATGTATGTATGTATGTATGTATGTATGTATGTATGTATGTATGTATGTATGTATGTATGTATGTATGTATGTATGTATGTATGTATGTATGTATGGTATGTATGTATGTATGTATGTATGTATGTATGTATGTATGTATGTATGTATGTATGTATGTATGTATGTATGTAAGTTGCTTTTGGTGACAAATTTAAGTGAAGTGCAAAAATAATTTACTCTGTGTAGTGTGAACACAGTGTTACACTCGTATGCTAACAGTTATCGATACTTGCAGCAGTTATCGACATCGCCTTGCCATTGCTTTCCCTAACGCAAACAGAATATAATTTCACCAGAAAGTTCGGTAAAGCAAAGCAGACTATTTTTATCTAAAAATTTCGTGATTTTCCTTTGCAGGAAGCAGACAAATGGCAAGAAATATTGCAATTGAATGACATTAACTAACAAATTAACATAATATTCGTACATGCAGAGCGCGACAATTCTACGAGTGGAAGGAAGGAATCCAGCGGCCATATTATGCAAATCTCCTTTTGACACTCGGCATATTTTCCAGCATACAGCAAACGAAGGTGTGAATATATGTATGTATGTAAGTATGTATATACATTTGAAACATGTTATCAACAGCGCACAAAAACGCTTTTGGCAAATTTGCATAATTACCCGATTTGCTTGTACGCTGTCCATTAAACTATTTGAATTTATGTGAGTAATTTAATTCTGTCTTCTGCGCTTAATTTCATTGGCAGTTTTTGCATCGGTCGGCAATTTTCATGCTCCAATTCACGAAATTTGCACAAATGACCACAAACAAAAATAAAGAGTAAATAAATAAAAACAAAAAAACAGCAGAGCAGAAGCTGGAAAGTGAAGGGTGTGCGGAAGAAAGTACAGTTGAGATGAAATTCGGGGAATTTTTTTTTCGTTTTTTTTTTTTTAATTCAAGAAATAAAAAGAAAAATGTTATGTACAGTGTTAGTGAAAAACTTAACAATAACAAAAAAGTGCGGGAAATGCAACAAATTCACAAGCGACCCTGAAACTTGGTTTAGTACAACCAGAATGCCAACAACGCTTTTGAGTGAAATTTGTGTTTGGTGCTCCTGACCTTGTCCCAGTTTTTGAACTATTATCAGCAACAACGCAAGTGACACACTTAATTGACATACATTATGTACTTGCACATATATATGCATACATACATATGTATGTATCATGTATTTAGTAAAATGTTAAAATATGCAAACAGCTGGTGAGTAAAAATATATATGTACATACCTACAACTGCAAATAGTATCTAATTGTGAAAAAAAAGCTTACGCACTGCATATATATATATACATACATATATGTACAGCCGAGAGCCTTTTCACCTCGTCCTCTAACTAAAGTAGTGCATTAGAACAGAAGCGGTCAAGGGCAAAAAACTGCATGATATTTACATGAAAGAGGATATACGCACATACATATATTACCAGGCAGCCATCGAGTATGTAGTGTAGTGAACTCGAAGCTAAACTAAAATTTAGCTATGATTATTTTCAAATGTAGGTATGTAGGTATGTACATAGGTACATACCCGCAGCTGTTGCATCATGCAGCTGGGTCACTGACGCAACTGTTTAGCAAACAAGACAATACTATATATATATATGTATGTATGTGTGTACACGTATAACCTCGACCTCAAAATCACTATTAATCCTGCTAGCGCGGCGGGTGTGCTTGACAGTGTCGCTGCATTTGCGTGTAGCAGACGCAGTAGTGACCAAGATGCAGTCACTGTGTCAATGACAAATTGTGTGAAATGTGGTATAGTTTGGGAAACCGTTAGAAAGGTATGTGAATTAAAGTAAATATTTTATAAAAAAAATTTATAAAAAAAATATATGTATTTGGAAACATAAGTTTATGCTTGACTATGGTAAATCATTTTTTTTTTTTGAAAAAGTATTTTTTTTTTTAGAAAATTCAAAAGTTTTTAAATTTTTTTTTTTAAATTAAAAATTTATTAATTTAAAAATTTTTGAAAATCTCCCAAAAAATCTAATTTAGACTTTTTCCCTCTTAATTAAAAATTTAATAGTTTAAAATTTTTAAAAATTTCCCAAAAAATCTAATTTAGACTCTTTCCTTCTTAGTTACCGTACGTACTATTTTTAGTCCGTACATTACCCATTACAGCCAAAGTGTTTCACCTCTTACCTGACGATATTGAATTTGCCGAATCACTGCGCGGCGTATGTTGCTGCATGTTGAGTCCATTATGTTGCATGCCACCACTCACACCCAGTACACCACTCATCAGGCCATTTATCAGGCCCTGATTCAGTGTTGCATGCAACATATTCGTGGTGTTGATATTGTTGTTATGCATATTCATATTGTTGTTATTGTTATTATGTGAATTTAGCTGATTTCCAAGATGTCCATTACCCAACTGACTGCCATGCGCCAAGCTGCCACCGCCGACAATGCCATTAACACCACCACCACTACCACCGAAATTTATGCCAGGGTTGCCAGCACCATTCATATTCGTGTTATTAACGCCACCGCCCAAAGGTATTATAGACGTTTGTGGTGGCAGTAAGGCGGCACAACTATGTGCTGATGTGATCACACTGTGACCACCACCTCCACCACCACCACCATGTCCATTAAATGCGGCATCATACCAAAGATCCTGATCACCGTAAACCGGTGAGTCGAGCGGTGAGGGTGAGAGTGTAGTGCTGAGCACAAGCCCGTTGGAGGAGGAACTCACTTCCGTTGAAGATTCTTCGAGAATGCGTAAGGCGAAACCGCCGTTATTCGACCAACGTCGCTTCATCATTGTCGTCTGCGTATGGCCAGTCAGGGTGGTAGATTTTTGTGTGGTTTGGTGTAAAGGTGTGGTGGAAAAGTTTGTTGAATTATTTATTATTTTTGCACTGTGCTTTTGACTTAAACTTTATGCACTAAATATTCTATATCGAAATTTTGTATCGAAAATGTTGGAAATTTTTTTCTTTCGCTTTTTTTTTTTGTTTTGTTAAAAATTTGTTACTTTTTGCGCACTAATTTGTGCACAAAATACATGCTTGCAGTTTTTTTGGAAACTAAAATTTGTTTAATTCAAATCTAAAATTAATAATGAAATTTAAAATTAATAAAAATTAAAAAATTATTAAAATTAAACTAAATCCTTTTGGAGCTTTTTTTATCAGCAATGTGTGGCTTGGCTTGTGTGTGTGTGTGTGTTCAAAAAAAAATTCGGCCCATAAATTCTTCTTATTTATTTAGCTGTTTTGCGTTAACTTTTTACGTGTTCATATATGTATGTATGTACGCTTGTGGTTTTAAAATGCGCGCTTTGTCACTGAAATGAGACACAAAAAAGAGAGAGAAGGGAGAGGATAAAAAATAAGATAGAGAAATCCAATCAAGTTTTAAACTGCTTTATTTGCATTTATTTTTTGTACATACTTTCATTCTTCTTTAAAGTCGCTTGAACTGGTTGAGTTGTACATTGTTTCTAAATTCTTTTCATTTTAGTTTATTTTATTTTAAACTTTTTTCACGGTTCCTCTTATTCAAGCATTTTAAACTTTTACTTTGTATTTTGCGCATGTGTTATCGGTACTTTTGAATTCTTATGGCTGGTCAACAATGTTGTTTGACCAGCATAAAAAAAAAAAATAAAATAAAAAAAGAAACGACTCGGTCAATAAATAAAAAGTGGTTTGAAGCAAATGTTCTTCAAAAAATATATTTTTTTTAATTCAGTCAATTGCATTGCAGTATTGATTATTCGATTTAGCAAGACAATAAAACTTATGGTATACATAGATATTTACATATTTTCGCTATATAATTTTTTTTCCATACATCCGCATGCAACTCTGTAGGCAGTGTGCATGTTAAGCCAACTGCTTAGCAGCCAAATAATATTCAAATGAGCTGAATTGATTATATTTTTATTAGCAACTTAGTTTGTCTTATTTGTATTTTATTAATTTTGAATGCATTTTGTGAAGCTGAAAACCTTCGCCTTGATAACGGGAAACGCCAACCAGTCTTATAAATATTTTGTTGACAGGTCAACAAGTTCAAATAGCCGCTTGATATGACTATTGGTCACACGTGCATATATTAAGTTTAAAGACTAAACATTTAGTCAGATGTAGGCCAAGTACAAGGCCATTATTGAATCTTTGTCTTTTCAAAACTTGTTGGTAACAGAAAATATTAAATAAATTTTGGAAGTAGACAAATGATTTGAAGCGTTTTTTTTTATATTTGCGGAAGCTGTTTCATAAGTACAAATATATAACTGTTTCAAAAGTTCATATATGTAACTATATCATACATTGTATGCAAATAACTGTTTCACAAGTGCATAAAACTGTTTCAGAAGTTCATACAACTGTTTCACAAGTACATATAACAGTTTAAGTACAATAGCTTCCAACGGAAACCTGGACTAAAGCATTGAAAGTTTTTATAACAAGATGAAAGCATTAAATTTCAAATGTTTCAAAAGTATAGTAATTAAATTTTCATAAACACTGTACAATCTCTCAGAATTCACTGAAAACTTCTGCTCAACGGAAAACTACGCGTAAAAGTACGCTAATTATTTAATCAACACCTGTTAATTTCGAAAATATTTATAGCTAAATTAAAAAGCGCGCCCCTGAAAGTTCAACCAACTTGTTGACTTTGAGAGAAAAACAAAACATAAAAAATTTACGCCATTAAATTTCGACTCCTACTTGATAGCCGCACTACTGAAATGTCGCAGAGAATCACGAAAATGCGAAAATTCGAGCGTTTAAACACTTTGAAAGAATAGAAAAAATTCGCCAAAAATATACGAGGTAGAAAAAAATGCTGAAAAAAATACCAAAAAAAACTCGCTGAAATGACATTAAGGAACTGCATACATATATCGATAGTACACATGTACATACATAGTCACTTAAAAGCTATTCGCACGCTGACCACGACCACCTCTCTATCTGATCGGCTGCCATTTTATTGTTGCATTTCAAGTGTCACTCGCACGTCCATTCGCGTTGACGAAAATAAACGAAGATCAAAATACACACATTTATGTACTAGTAAATACTTACGTACACGTACATACATATGTATGTCTGTATTTTTCGTCAAGTAATTTAAAATTTAATTCGACTATTTGTTAGCGAAGCGAATAAGCACAAATGCGTTCGCTGCTGCTGTTTGTTTGTTGTTGCTTGCATTAATCGCTTATATTGCTTATATGTATGTTATATATGTACATATGTATGTACTATACATACATATGTATCTGTACGTATGCAATATGCACGAGTGTAGGTCTTTTCATTTATCTGTGCGTTTTTAAACGCGTTCAAGGTTAAAGTGACGCTGACGCGTTAATTAGAATGGAATTGCACTCGGCGAATGCGAACGAAGACGTTGAACTTTTTGTTGACGAAATTAAAATAATGTGACAAATAAACATACCAAAAAAATAAACGAAATTATATTTGATTTAACACACGTCTGTGCATTTGAGAATCTTTATCAAAGTACATACCCATGTACATACACGTATGTATGAATAGATGTATGTAGATAAGTACTTAAATTTGTTTGATTTTATAGGTGAATTTTGTTACTAAGCCTGTCTTTCGATGAGGGCTTATGTGTTTTTTTTTTTATATAGGAAACTTAGTTTCGAACTTATCTAAATTAATTATACTACTGCCACTTCATGCATTTTATTTAATTATTTATTTAATTTTTGACTTATTACTCTCAAGTATTACGTGTCTCCACAACAAAAAAAAGACAACATGAAATAATATAAAAAATTATTTTACTTTTTAAAATAATTTAACTTTAAACAAAAAGTACAGCTTAATTTGTACATTAAATCAATAAATTAAATTAAAATTAAATTAAAATTAAATTAAAACTAAAAATAAAACTAAAATAAAAAATAAAACAAAAATTAAAAATATATTTAAATATTGTATATTTAAAACTTCCATTCAAATTGGAAAAAAAAATTAAAAAAAATTAATATTAAATTAAATTGAGAATAAAATGTAAATCTAAGAGTTGAATTATAATTATGAAATTGAAATAAAATTAAAGTTAAAAAAATTAATCAATTAATTAATTAAAACTAAATTAAATTAATAATTAAATTAAAATTAAAAAAAAACTGAAATCAAAATAAAGTATAAATTTAACATAGAAATAAAACACAAATTAAAGTTCAACTTAAACTTAAAGAAAAAATTGAAATCAAAACTAAGGTAAAAATTTAAAATATAAATAAAATTCAAATAACAATCAAATGAAATTGAAATTAAATTTAATACTAAAGTTAATGTATAAACCAAAAATAAGATTAAAACTGAAACTCAAAGTGAATAAAACAAACAGAATTAAAATTCAAATTAAACTAAAACTAAAATTAAAGTATAAAATAAATTAAACTGACTGAAAATAAAAAATAAGTTCACATTCCAATTCATATTAAATCAAAAAAAAATATTAAAATAAAATTAAAACCAAAATTAAAATTATAAAAAAAAAACAAAATTAAAGTTTAAGTTAAAATTAATATTAAAATTACTATTTTAAATTAAATTAAAAATAAAGCTAAAATTAAAATAAAATTAATTTAAACTAAAATCAAAATTAAATTTAAAATAATAACATAAAATATAAAATAAATTAAGCTGATTAAAAATAAGAAATAAAATTCAAATTTAAATTCATAGGAAATTAAAATAAATATAATAATGGAGAACCAAAATTAGAGTTAAAATTAAAATATAAATTAAATTAAACTGATGGGAAATAAAAACTAATATTAAAATAAAAAAATCATATTAAATTTCATTTAATATTAAAAGTAAAATGTAAATTAAAACCAAACCTGAAAGTAAAACTAAAAGTAAAATAAAAATTAAAATATAAAATAAATTAACCTGATTGAAAATAAAAATTAATTCAATTTCATATTAAATTAAAACAAATATAAAACCAAAATTTAAAACAAAATTGAAATTATAACTAAATTAAATACAAAATTAAAGTTAAAATTATTACTTAAAATAAAAATAAAGCTAAAATTAAAATTGAAACTTAAACTAAAATTAAAGTTAAAATAAAAATATATAATATAAAATAAATTAGGCTGGTTGAAAATAAAAAATAAAATTCAAATTCAAATACTTAGTAAATTAATATAAATTTAAAGCTAAAATTAAGACCAAAATTAAAGTTAAAATTAAAATATAAATCAAATTAAACAGATGGAAAATAAAATTAATGAACAAACTCATATTATATATATATATATATTAAATTAAAATTTAATTAAAATTAAAAGTAAAGTTTAAATTGAATAAGGTAACCCGATTTAAAAGTAAGAAGTAAAGTTATCAAAAAATTCATGTTCATGTTGTGTTTTCTTTTCCAGAAAATATTGCTGCAAAATTCAATAAACTTAAGAGAGCATTGCATGCTATATTCGAATCAGAAGTGGGATAAAATATAATAAATCAGAAACTACACTACAACCAGGCAAACGAAATTTACAGTGCATCAAAGCATTTCAGAAGTGGAATAATAAAATCGGCTAGCAGATCATGGTGAAGTTTAAATCTATAGCCCAACAAAAAAAAAAAAAAAAAAAAATGAGAAGTGGAATATTTGAAAAATACTTTAAAAAAATATAGCCCAACAAAAAATATCAGAAGTGGAAAGAAACCTTGATTTTCGTTTCTCAAAAAGAGTCAACTAACGAACAAATGTCGAAATGAGAATCTCTTCCACATCTAATATAAGAATAATAGAGTCAGAAACACCTGACTTGCTAGCGATCCACCTAAAGCATAATGCCGAAAGCTATTAGTGAACAGATCAATCATCGAACTTCCCGAAGAAGTAAGTCGTATGACACAGACGCGACGTTGTCCTTCACCACCATAAACGTCGAGGAATCAAGCAATTTACACAATTGGTAACTTATCACTGCCAAGGCGCCAATAAAAACATATTGAGCTCAAGTAATCTGTAATAATATATGCGAAGCGGATATACTCCGAGTATGTATGTTTTTGTGAAATACAGTATGTAAATATATGTACATATGTAGGCGCAAATAAGCAAAGCATTTACACTGCTCATTTCAATTACTAGCTACAAAAGGCGACATAAATTGTTGTCATATCGTTGTTCGGAGTGTAGTGTGTGTATCAATATTAAGCGGCGCGCTCAAAAGTGCAAACAAGAAAATTGTAAAAATAAATATAAAGTATGTAAGTAGTGAAGCAAAAAAAAGCATAAGTAAATAAGTCAGGGAGAATAAAT